ACCGTGCAAAGGCATTTTTAAAAATTAGGTTCGGACGGAGCACCTAGGGACGCCTTAGCGCCTCCTCATGCAGCCGTCTACTACAAGGAACATGGCTGTCCACAGGCCGGGTGGTGTCGGCCTGCCCTCCAGTCATGGTATACATTCTTGTTCTCCCATTGGTGTCAGAGCACAGGTCCCCTCTCCTGCCTGCTCTTACGTCCTCAGCCAGCTCCACCACAGCACAGTTCCAGAGGTCAGAGGCGGCAGAGCCAGGCCAGACACAAGTTCAAACCTTAGCTGGTTCCCTTACTTCTGTGTGACCTTCCCTTAAACAGGTCCTCCGAGGAGCCTGAGTCTCCACCTGGAACATCTTTTAACTTTTCTTTATTTTTTAATTTTTAAGAAATTTACTAGTTATTTAAGAATTTCCTTATTATACTTTTGTTAGCTAAAACAATTTTTAAGTTTAAAAATTCCCTCTTCCTACTCACACAACTTTAAGTCCTTTTATCCAAAAAAGAAAAAAAAAAAACAACCCAAAACCCAATACAACAAACACCCCCAAAATCAAGAAAACAAAATAAAGCCACCTCCCACAAAAAAAAAAAAAAAAAAAAAAACCACCAAACTATAATCAAATAAAGCACACAAAAACCCGTGGCGTCCATTATACGTTGGTCAACGACTGAAGATGAGGCCTGTCCTGGAATGCTGACGCACTCAGGTCGCTCCATTGTAGAGAAGTAATCTTCCCTCTCCCAGCCAGTATAAGTGACAGGTCAGTTGTTAGCCTTTAGCCTAGTGGCTAGTTTTTCATCAACCCCCCCCCCTTTTTTTAATTGTTTTAATTGGTTTATTGGAGCTACAGAGATGGCTCAGCACTTAGGGACACTTGCTGCTCTTCCAGAGGACCCAGGTTCTGTTCCCAGCACCCACAAGATGGCTCACAACCATCCATTCCTCCAGTTTCAGAAGATCTGAAACCCCATTCTGATGTCTGGGGGCACCAGACCATGGTACCTATGTGTGTGCAGCCAAAACACTGATACATGGCTAAACCAATTTTTTTTGAGACAAGGTTTCTCTGTGTAGCCTTGGCTGTCCTGGACTCAAAAGATCTGCTTGCCTCTGCCTCCTGGAGTGTTGGGGTCAAAGGCCTGTGCCACCAGGCCTGGCTGGACACATTTTTTAATGTACATATTGGGGGGGGGGCTAAAGAGATGGCTCAGCGGTTAAGAGCACTGGCTGCTCACAGAAAGGACCCAGGTTCAATGCCCAACACCTAACTTTTAAAATGTACTTATTTCGTGTGTATGAGTGACTGTTGGAATGTACGTCTATGCACCACACGTATGCAGTGCCAAGGGGGTCCAGAAGAGGGCATTAGAATCCCCTGGGATGGGAATGATAGCTGTCAGCTGCCGCGTGGGTGCTGGGAAGAGAACCTGGGTCCTGTGGAAGAGTGGCCAGTGCTCCCAATCACTGAGCCATCTCTCCAGCCCAGTTCTTTCTGTTTGTTGTTGTTTTTTAAGATGGGCTCACTATATAAGCCTTGGCTGGCTTCTAACTCGTTCTCCTCCCTCTGCCTCAAAGTGCTAGGATTAAAGGCATCACCACTAGGTCTGACTTTCCTTAAATTTTTTTAAGTGTGTGTGTGTGTGTGTGTTGGGGGTTGACACTGGGTTTTCTGTGCAGCCCTGGCTGTCCTGGAACTCACTCTCGCTGGCCTCAAACACAGAGCTCTACCTACCTCTCCTGAGTACTGGGACTAAAGGCTTCCGCTACCATCTTACAATGTTTGGTTTGGTTTTTTTTTGAGATAGGTTTCATATATCCCAGGCCGGTCCTGAACTCCTGACCCACCTGTGTCCAAATTCCAAGTGCTGGCACATACCAGCCCACCCAACTTGGGACATGGACCCTGTGGGCTGCCACCAGCCAGTATCCCTCTAATGTATAGGGCTTATCAGCGTGTGCACAGGCCCTCATGGTGACAGCTGAGCCAGACACTACCTGTATTGTGCTTCAGCCCAGGTCCCCTCAACATGGGAGAAGCTGCAGCCTCCTCACTATAATCAGGAGACACCCTTTGTGGGACAGTGGAGTATTGGTTCAGGATGTTATCCCATCTACGACCCTAAGCACCCTTCTCTTCAAACCTCTGAAGGAGGATCCTTCTATACGTGTGTATCCAACGGGCAGCTTCCAGCCCTGTGTCACTATTTGAGTTCCTTGATCACACTAGCTAGCTACATTGTAAGTGATCAATTCCCACACCAGGCTGGTGGCTGTCACTGCCGAGAGCCCTGTGCACAGCTTTGAGCTGCCTATTGTGGCCCTGGCTGTTTGCCATCCTCTCCAAAACTACCAATGGCTTCTTCCTTTTTTCATTTGTTTGTTTGTTTGGTTTTTGCTTGTTTTGCTTTTTTTTTTTTTTTTTTTTAAGACAAGGTTTCATTATATAGCCTTGGCTGCCCTGGATCTAACTATGTAGACTAAACTAGCCTTAAACTCATAGAGGTCTGCTTCCTGAGTGCTGTAACTAAAGGTATGTATCACCTCTTCCTGATCTCCTGTAGTCCTTCAAAGAAGCCATTTTCCACCTGGCTGCTGGATAGATCTTTCTTTAATTATTTATTACTTATACAGTGTTCTGCCTCCGTGTGTGCCTGCACGCCAGCAGAGGGCACCACATCCCATTATAGATGGTTGTGAGCCACCATGTGGTTCCTGGGAATTGAACTCAGGACCTTTGGAAAAGCAGACCACACTCTTAACCTTTGAGCCACCTCTCTAGCCCCCTGCTGAATCTTAAAGCAATACTCAGATTCAGCGGCAACACACAGTGGTCCTCTAGCCTACACATGCTGACCTGGAACTTGTGACAGTTCTGCCTCAGCCTCCCTAGTTCTCAGATTATAGGTGTGTACCATCCCAACCAGCTTTTTTTTTCTTTGTAAACATGCGGAACATATTATTCCCCTTTTTCTCAGTAAACATGTTCTGACTCTACTTTTGCCTTTTGTAGTATGAAGCATTTTATGTGCCTGGCTTTTTAAATGACCCTGTGACCTTTCAGTGTCAGTTGGCTCTTGGACTTCTGGGAACAGGAGAGGATATAAAAGCCAGCAGAGGCTGAAAGTACAGAGAAAGAAGAGTTAGAGAGGGGGAAGAAAGAGGAGTAGGCAGGAGTAGGCTCGAGGAGACAGTAAAGTGGGGTCAGAGATGAAAGTTGATGCAAGCAGATTGAGTAGGGCTAGAGAGAAGAGACTGAGCAGAGCGAAGGTAAGAGACAGTTGAGAGTGGATTGAGCAGGCAGAGTGAGAAGACGGTTGGTGACAGTTGAGCCAGGAGAACCTGAGCTGAGCCAACGAAGATATTGTTAGCAAAGAGTCAGGAGAAGAACCCACAAAGTAGCTAAAAAGATAAACTATAAAGACTAAAGAACAGCGGCCTTCATTTCATCTTCTATCTTGTTTTCTGTTTGTTTGGTTTGGTTTTTGGTTTTTCAAGACAGGGTTTCTCTGTGTAGCCCTGGCTGTCCTGGACTCACTCTGCAGACCAGGCTGGCCTCAAACTCACAGAGGTCTGCCTGCCCCTGCCTCCTGAGTGCTGGGATCACAGGTGTGCGCCACCACCATGCCCCTGTGTGGCCATTATTTTATGTGCCTTAGTCACTGTTCTGTTGCTCTGGGGAGACACCATGACCAAGGCAACTTTTAAAAGAATGCATTTAACTGGGGCTGGCTTACCGCTCAGAGGCTTATCATCATCGTGGTGGGATGGCACAC